TCCCAGAGATGGTCATCTGGCTGACCCGTCGACCCAGAGTTGTGCGCAGTCTTCTGTTCAGAATGTTCATGGTTGCATACCTATCACGCAGATCTCTTTTCTGATGATTTTCAATTTCCACGTCGTGACGTACATTTCGGCCTGCCCGATCTGTGGTAGTCCTCAAATGACCCTGTAAGTGTATATTTCTTTTAAAGTTTTGTCATGCCTTGCTAGAAAACGAAAGAGTTACATTTTTCTGCCATAAACTTTTTCCCTGCTTTCCATGACAAACCAGTGTCTCTCAGAGTAATAATTTGGGTCCTTTCGAAAATGTCCATTTCTTCTGTTTGACACCTGCCATTCTGTAAAACAATGAACCAAAATGATTTACAAAACATTTTTCATAAAATATGTGAAAGTAAACGTGACCTTAAAGCTTAAGATTTTGTTATCACACTTGAATTACTAATAATTATATCGGAATTACAATCCTGTAAGTTTAACAAGAAAAAAATGTATCTTACTTTAACAGAAATAAGTTTAAACTCAATACTAAACAGAAAGGAGTTCTTACAGATATATGAAGAATTTGACTTAGCGATGTAATAAATATAAGCATATTTACTCACGTTTTCTACTGCTCGGCCGCTTCAGGGTCATACCCCCGGTTCCAGGGGTGATGTCATAGTAGGCCCGAGGAGGCCATAATTAACATCACTTTTCAAAATTACCAATGTTGTTGGCGACATTACCAACATTTCAAGCTATAAATTCGTAATTATTAAGGAGTGAAATTCTAATAGATTCCTCATAAAGTCTCAAACACCATCTCAAATGTGAGTTAAACGGACTTTTGGTTAGCAGCTGTACATGAAACACTCCTCTTTATGTTGGTGTCATCAAAAGATGTTCTGGGCTTAGTAGCATATGTTTGTTTTAGACAATTTCCCTGTTGAAAGCTATATACAAAGCTGCACAATGTTTTCGAAAAATGCTATTATTTTGCGGTAAATAAATGAAAGATACAAAATAGCACTTTCAAGATTCATGATAATAGTTTTCACCTTCAAGTTTGATTAAGTCGGTATAAAAGCTGTGTCTGCCATCATAAAAAGATTTTTATAAATTATATTTCAAAATTCAGTTTAGGACGAAGAAGTGGTAACGGTCACCTCTTTCCCCCACTCTACTAATTACTTATGTGTCAATTAAAAGGTCAGTTAGTACATTTGAGCCTGCGTGTTTGTATTTTTGAATAGATTTGTGTTTGAGATTTTATTTGAATAAAGATTAAATCAATTTTGAGGAGTTTGATATTACTGTAATAAAGAACTGAAAATCCTACCAATTTTGAAAATGGCCCAAATACGTTGCATGAAATTAAACCAACTATTGGTTATACCTACTTGGGTTGTCAGTCCAGATTTGAAGAAGTCATTATGTGACGATGTGTTAGTTTTTCCATCACTGGGATCAATGTTTCAGTGTACAAAAATAAAGGATCTTTTTAACCATGTCAATTATCATTTGATAAAAGCCAGGGACCATGCAGGAAACAAAAGTACCGTAAGACCCCGTGGTGCTTAGTATTCTGGGATCTTTCTTGACTTTGCGGTAGGTGGTGGTGTCTTGTCAGCGGCTAGATGCTCAACACTCCAGACTTTGAGACCATGTTGACGACAACAACTGCAAATTCAGCCCAGTTTTGTGACAAACTGAAGTCTATCACCAATCCTGGTAACATACTAAGTTATGACCTATTGACCTTGTGGACCTACTTACCAGTGTACCCATTAACGAAACCCTCCTCACCCTCCGGCACCGTCTTGATAACCTTAACACTCCCCTTGACACTAACCTCTCCACTGACTCCATCATCCAACCCATTTCTAACTCCATCGCTTCCATCTACTTTACCTGGGGTGATGACATCTTTGTGCAGATCAATGGACTACCCATGGGCTCACTTCTCTCTCCTAACCTTTCTGAAATTTATATGACCTCTTTCGAGCAACAAGCACTCCGCACCTCACCAATCAAACCAACCTGCTGGTTCAGGAAGGTTGATGACACCTTTGTCTTCCTCTCCAAAATCACGACCTCACTGTTCTTCTCCAACACCTTAACCAACAGTATCCCCGAATTCAGTTTACTATCGTAACTGAAAACAGCTCACAACTTCCTTTCCTTGACGTTCTGGACACCCGCACTGCTGACAAAACTATTCAAACCTCTGTCTACCGTAAACCCCAACACGCTGACCAATACATCCAATTTGACTCTAACCACGCTCTCAGAACTAAAACCGGCATAATCTCTACCCTCACCCGCCGTGCTATCAGTCTATCCTCTGCCTCACCTGAACCCGAGCTCCAACACCATCGCCACGTTTTCACCCAACTTAACATTTATCCCACTTAACTTGTTGACCGAGTCATCAAATCCACCCTCAACCCATCACCAAAACCAACCACTTAATTGACGAGCCAACGCTTTAACCACTAGGCTCTATCCCACCCCCCCTCCCCAAACCAGTGATGGACATTGTGAATAAGGATACACTTTGTTGAGGTATGATAACCTGTCATTAACCACGTCACGAGCCTACTGCAACATTTATATTTATATATATTTGTATAGCGCCAATATCCAGATCACCTGCTCAAAAGGCGCTTTGTTTTTCCCTCGATCATTGGATGTTAATCTCAAATGGCACATTGTATTATCAATCTGAACTCCCTAACATAACAAACGCATACACCTCCAAGGTTAAACGTCTGGGGGCGGTGGGGCAACCTAATGGTTAAAGCGTCCGTTCATCACGCTGAGGACTCGGACTCGATTCCCAACATGGGTAGGCTACATTGTGTGAAGCCAATTTCTGGTGTCCCCTGATATTGCTGAGATATTGCTAAAAGTAGCACATTGAATGTCTACACCAGAGAATATACAGTTCCGTGGTTCAAATAAAAGACGATTCCGTTTGAAATAAATGGAGATGGACGGGATATTACATGAATGGATCAGTGACAATAAGTTACGACACCAGGTGTTCACGCATTAGCGTCACACAACGTGATGTTAGCAACAACTGGCTCTTACTGAACGTAGCACTGATCAATAGATCAGTATAAATGCGCCGGTTGATGGACGTTGACACACCGTATTATCAGAAGTACAGAATCAAAGATGACAAAACCCAAGCTGTTGTGTAAGTGAAAGTGTATTTCGTTTTTCTCCCTGTCTCCTAATGTTTGATGTGTCCTTTATGTGACGATATTGGTAGATCGCTCATTTCTTGAGAATCCCTTTTAACTTAAGTTTGTTTCCAAATGAATTTTCCTCGGTTGGTCTTTGATGTCCTGTCACGATGAATTTGCCTTCATTTTTATATTCGCCACACATCGCCTCTACAGAGGACTCACTCTTTTCTACTATAACTCCTCTCATCTGTTCTTCATTCTCTTCGTTTTTTACACATATTCTCCTTTTAGTATATCCACATTTCGTGTCTACTACATCTACTCTCCTAGATCAGCTGCTCGGTCCGAAGTCCAATTGTCAGAGCTACCATCTCGATGCCAAGTACCAATTGCAATTAATTCAAACCCCCCATACAATTAATTAAAATTGGAAACATTGCTACAACATGCATGTTATTTCAAACCAAATTAAGAAGGATCAATAAGTGGTTTTCTTTAAAAACCCAATTCGGTAATCACAGATTATCAACAACGGAATGGACAGTTTGAAGGAAAGGTCAAACCTTCTTGAATAAGACATAATGAATATACCCCAAATTACCATTATGAAAACAAGTTTGAAGAATAAATTTATTCCTTTAAAACTTTAGAAAATAGACTGTAAGATCGATTGAAATATCTCTATATACAAGGAAATTATATGTTTATCGACTCTGCTTACAGGTATACTGCACGAGGTAAAATTTTGTAAAAAAATTGTAATATGAAGTTTATTTTGTAAGAAACATTGCGATATGTTGGTTTTTGTAAATAAAGTCAATTTTTGCCAAACTGTGACAAAAATGGATATCGATTGCCACCCCTAATATTCAAACCTAACAGAGGATTTTACATACTGCGTTATTTTTTTACATATTAAGTTAAAAATTGTTTTTACATTTTGCGTTAGGTGTTGTACTTTTGCGTTTTAAAAATCTTTTACATATTGCGTTAATATTTTACATATTGCGTTATGTTTTACGTTTTGCGTTAAGTTGTTACATATTGCGTTAGTTTATACATATTGTCTTGATTTTACATATTGGGGTTGTACAAGTGCAAGTTTGCACGCGCAAATAGAGCCGGGAACCATCTTGTTATGACGTAAAAACTAATTCATGTTATTGTCTAGTGCTTAATCGACGACTTACACATCATGTTTATGTGGTAGGGGTTGTTTGGTCTTTTTTGTTTTGTTTTTGTTTTTTGCTGCTGTTGGGAAGGGGGTGTTGTTTATTTTGTTTTTTGTTTTTTTGGGGTGTGTGTTTTTGTTGGTGTTGGTTTTCTTTTCTTTTGGGGTCTTTCAACGGCACACTCAGCAATATTCGAGCTACATGGCGGCTGTCTGCAAATAATCGAGTCTGGACCAGACAATCCAGTGATCAACAGCATGAGCATCGATCTACGCAATTGGAATACGATGACATGTGTCAAGCAAGTCAGCTAGCCAGACCACCTGATCCCGTTAGTCGCCTCTTACGACAAGCGTGGGCTTCTGAAGACCAGTGATAACCGGATCATATCAGTGTAGAATTAAACAAATCTAGGCTGGCAACACTAACCACAAGCAGCGTATAGAGAATATAAACAGTTATCAACATATACTAAATACCAGCATCAGTTTATCTCGTTTTTATCAATTGCCACTCAGGACAATGTCCGCGTTGTGATATTCAAACTCATCACACTGCCAAACGCTTCCTCTTCAGCTACGACCAAGTGTTATGGTTTACGCAACTGTTGCGGAGTTTGCGATAACGCCTCCGATCCCAGCCATCTACGTCACACATCACGTGAAAATGATGACCCATAGTCTGTATATATATGTGTGTTGATATCACATATTTCAGTCCATATTTGATCATCAACTGGTGCGATCGAGCGATAATCATGAGCTATCCAGGTAAGTTTTGTTCGTTTGATTGTTGTTTGAGGCCGAACACCACAACAGCCCAGCTACATACGTATATCACGGTTGTATGATAATTGAGTAGGATCAGACAATCCAGTGAATTACTTCAAGAGAGACGAGCTGCACAACTAGGATACTGCATCAGTGAGTGAGTGAGTATGGTTTTACGCCGATTTTAGCAATATTCCGGCAATATCACAAAGGGGAACAGAAATGGGCTTCACACATTGTACCCATGTTGGGAATCGAACCCGTCCTTCGGCGTGACGAGCGAACGCTTTAACCACTGGCCCACTCCTCGGTGTCCTCTTCTGAAGGATTGTCCCAGTGAGAGGTATGTAAGCCTACATCTTTCGAAAAACAGTTAGGTATACCACAGTTCTTAATCGCAGCGGTCATGTCGATTTTAAACAAATAGCTAGTCGCGAATACCTGATAGGATGGTTTACATCCAGCTAGAGTAGATGCAGACAGCAAAAGCAATGTAAGTCCCCGTGGTCTCTAGTATGGTGAGGAGTACCCCCAACTGTGCCCACTTTTCTTAAAACAACAAAATGCAGTCACCTGTAGAACAATAGGGGGATTAGTTATGGTCTGTTTCAAGGTAAGTCTGGTGACTCCGTGACCACAAGTCTGAATAAATTGGTGAGCACATTTCATAACAAATTGGTGAACACTAACAAATGTCCCAGTCATGTATATATGTATTAATGAACCCCGACTTCATCATTCATCATCATGGCTAATGCTCAAGTTGACGTCCAGTAGATTGATAATGCTCAGGGTGGACAAAATTTGACGTATGGCAACTGTAAGTTTAGGGTTAAGAACCGAAAGAATAATAGAGTCTACTGGAGATGCTGTGTCACAGACTGCCGAGCGACACTGAATATGAATGAGTGACTTATCACTTAGTACAACAACATTGATAACCATGAGGTCGATCCAAACAGACTTTCTGTTGACAGGTTCTTGACTCATATCAAGGACCTTGTTCGACAGACGCCTAGATCTAGTTCTGCCATGTATCAAGATGTGATTGTTAATTTACTTGTATGTAAATAAATTATTATCTCAAACTCATTACACTTATGTCATGCTGAGTTAATGCCACTTACATACTAGTTTATGAATTAAGTATGTAGTTTATGACTTAAGAGTTAAGTAGACTATACTATATACCACTGCCCGCTAGCCTGATACAGACTATACTCTAATCCCACTGTTGTTTTAACACTGCCCATTTCCCAAAGTGGGCACAATGGGAGTAAACCCTTGCGTTTAAACCCTTGCGTTGTCACGATATGGCTGACATATTGCCGATGTAACTTTAAATGTTAACTTACTCACTCACTCACTCACTCTCACTCACTCACTCACTCACTCTCACACTCACACTCACACTCACACACACACACTCACTCACTCACTCATCCTTGCGTAAAACCAGTTTTAATCGTTTCTTCACGGGAAAGATTAGCGTCAAGGAATATTTTCAGGCTCATTTCAATGATAGACCCTATCTCTCTCCGCTAATCTTAAAACCAATTCTTTTCAGTCGTTGTCAACAGCAGCATTTACATGAAAAAGTAGTACAATGTAATAACTTTTCTTAAAACCTTAACTCGTAAAAGTGGAGATACTGCTTCGTTCGAAGACAATGTGATTTCCAGTGTACCCCGTCGTGATATTGCTGGAATATTACTAAAAGCGGCGTAAAACTTAACTCACAGACTCAACCTTTCGAAGACTTTACAGTGTGCTATCTTACATACACTGACCGCAGTATCTACGTTGGTTGAAAGGAAACGAGAGACGACTAACGGGATCGGGTGGTCAGGCTCGCTGACTTGGTTGACACATGTCATCGTATCCCAATTGGTAGATCGATGCTCATTCTGTTAATCACTGGATTGTCTGGTCTGGATTTCAGCAAATGACTAGTTTCCTTAACGATTTGTGATTCCATATTGTACAAGGGTTACATAGTCGAGAATGTACAACTCATAAATGTTAATACGTTGTCAAGTGAGCGAGTTCAGTTTGTATGACGCTTTTAGCAAAATTCCAGCACGCGGGGGACTTAAGAAATAGGCTTCACACATTGTACCCATGTGGGGAGTCGAACCCGGGTCTTCGGCGAACGCTTGAAACACTAGCGTCCCCACCGCCCAATATGTCACACTACATACTTATACTAAGTTATAGCATGGAAATGGGTACCCGGTAGCTTTATTTTCGACTTATAATGCATGTTTATGGTACAATCTGACACAATTAAGGAGATGAATATTGCTATAAATCATCAAAATTTGCTTAGGTCTATACAGAATGTGTCCAAGGATGGTGGAGCAGTTGCTTGTGCCACTTTCACTAGATTCAGAACAATATCTTCTCAATTATCGGATAACAGCTCCATTTTCACAGCCGAAGCAGCCGCCATATTAGCAGCTCTGAGATATTATAATAATACGATTCACAGACGATTATGTTATTTTCAGGCTACCCAGGCAATCCGTACTACCCCCAAGGAAATGTGCCCCCACCCCAACCCGGAGCATACCCTCCACAGTACCCTGCAGGTGCCTACCCCCCACAATACCCTGCCGGGGCCTACGCGCCACCCCCTGCGGGTTACCCCTACGCCCAGCCACCAGTAGTGAGCACAACGACAGTCGGAGCACATGGCCAGTCTAGGACGGTGTTCAGAGACCCTTGTGGTGACAAGGTCGTGGTCAAGAGGGATGGATTTGGCCATGAGAAGGTCATCGTGAAAGAGGTCAGTTTCAAATGGTCATACTTCTTGATTTATTGATACAGTAGGGGAGAGTTAGTTGTTAAAGTAATCACTGCTATAGGCACTGCTTCAGACATATGATGGCACTGCTTCAGACACAGACCGACACAGTTTCAGACACATCCCCACAGAGTTACACACACATGCCGCCACAGCTACAGACACATGCTGACACTACTGGAGACACATTCCGACACTACTGCAGACACCTGTCGACAGAGCTACAGACATATGCAGGCACTGCTTCAGACACATTCCGACACTGCTTCAGACACCTGCCGACAGAGCTACAGACATATGCAGGCACTGCTTCAGACATATGCAGACACTGCTTCAGACATATGCAGACACCACCTCAGACATTTGCAGACACCACCTCAGACATATGTAGACACCGCCTCAGGCATATGCAGACACCGCCCTAGACATATGGAGACACAGTTTCAAAAGCTTCAGATAAATGTCGACATTGCTACAGATAAATGTCGACATTGCTACAGACATATGCCAGCACTGCTTCATACACATGGCGACACTCCTGCAGACACATGCCGACAGTTTCAGACACACGCTGACAGAGCTCCAGACACGTCCCGACACTGCTTCAGACATATGCAGACACTGCTTCAGACACATGCTGACACTGCTTCAGACAAATGCCGTCACTGCTTCAGTCATATGCAGACACTGCTTCAGACACATGCTGACACTGCTTCAGACATATGCAGACACCACCTCAGACATATGCAGACACCACCTCAGACATATGTAGACACCGCCTCAGACATATGCAGACACCGCCCTAGACATATGGAGACACAGTTTCAAAAGCTTCAGATAAATGTCGACATTGCTACAGATAAATGTCGACATTGCTACAGACATATGCCAGCACTGCTTCATACACATGGCGACACTCCTGCAGACACATGCCGACAGAGCTCCAGACACGTCCCGACACTGCTTCAGACATATGCCGACACTGCTTCAGACATATGCCGACACTGACCGACACATACCAACACTGCTTCAGACACATGCCGATACTGCTTCAGACACATTCTGACACTGCTTCAGACACATGTCGACACTGCTTCAGATACATGTCGATATTCCTAACAGACACATGGCGACGCTCCTGCAGACACATGCCGATAGTTTCAGACACACGCTGACAGAGCTTCAGACACATTCGAACTCTGCTTCAGACATATGCAGACACTGCTTCAGATATATGTCGACATTGCTACAGACACATGCCAGCACCTCTCCAGACCCACGGCGACACTCCTGCAGACACATGCCGACAGTTTCAGACACACGCTGACAGAGCTTCAGACAACCTCCGACACTGCTTCAGACATATGCCGACACTGATTCAGACACATGCCGACACTGCTTCAGACATATTCCGACACTGCTTCAGACATTTTCCGACACTGCTTTAGACACATACTGACACTGCTTCAGACACATGCAGACACTGCTTCAGACATATGCCGACACTGCTTCAGACACATGCAGACACTGCTTCAGACACATGCAGACACTGCTTCAGACACATGCCGACACTGCTTCAGACATGCCGATACATGTCGACATTGCTAACAGACACGTGGCGACACTCCTGCAGACACATGCCAATAGTTTCAGACACGCTGACAGAGCTTTAGACACATTCCGACACTGCTTTAGACATATGCAGACACTGCTTCAGACACATTCCGACACTGCTACCGACACTTGGGTAGACACCGAAACCGACAGAGCTGCAACTCAGGACACCTTATTCCATTCGACGTCTGTTAAACCTCAACAGTTGAGTAATGTAACGCTATACATAGCGTTAAAACACGGAAGTAATTTAAACAAATTTTACCTTAGGCTCAACATTCCTGTATTTGTTTAGAATGTTTTTAACCGGTTGATGGGTGCGTTTATTTACTTTAAAAATGCCAGCTAAAAACGAAATTCTCAGCCACCAAAACCACTTCCTTGAAAAACAATCTTCTTTTGAAACTGTCCCCGGAGCCTGTTGAGTACTACCATTTTCCCAGACAAATAAGTGTTCCAAGACAAACGGTTTCCAAAGTAAGTTGTGTTTGTTGTTTAACGCCGCACACAGCAATATTCCAGCTATACCTGTAAATAATCGAGTCGATCCAATGATCAACAGCATGAGCATCGACCTAATGCAATTCAAATTAACCCTTTCTAGTTTCCTTACTAACTATCAAGATTCAATGTTCGCCTGTTCCAGACTAATAGCTTCATGGTTGGAGACTCTCAGACTATTGTTGTTGTTTTCAATCCAATTATGGATTATGTGTTCTCAGTCTGATTCCGGGGCGGTGGGGTAGCCTAGTGGTTAAAACGTTGGTTTGTCACGCCGAAGACCCGGGTTCGAATCCCCACATGGGTACAATGTGTGAAGCCCATTTCTGGTGTCCCCCGCCGTGATGTTGCTGGAATATTGCTAAAAGCGGAGTAAAACCAAACTCAGTCAGTCAGGCAGTCTGATTCCAGGCGAAGTGTTCCTAGACTTACATTTCAAGATTAAATTTTCCCAACATATAAGTTTCCAGATTAACAGGGTCGGGTCTAAGGAGGTGTAACTGTTTCTCTTACAGGATCACCATCACCACCATCACCCACAGAACAAGACTGTGTTTAATGACGGCTTCGGACACAAGGTGGTGGTCAAGGAGGACAGATTCGGCAATGAGAGGGTTGTTGTGAAGGAGGTGAGTAGCAGGACCAGTGCTTTGTTTAACTTTGAAACTCTTACCGACTGGGGCGGTGGGGTAGCTTTATGGTTAAAGCGTTCGCTCGTCACGCCTATGGTCCGGGTTCGATTCCCCACATGGATACAATGTGTGAAGCCCATTTCTGGTGTCCCCTGACGTGATGTTGTTTCATTATTTTTATTTTGTATTTGTTGTATATTTTAGTTCACTCCCCACCCATAAAATCCCTGAGTAAACGGGATTACCTCCCTTACCACGTATCAGTTTGAAAGAATTTGGAAAAACGCAGGCCACATCTATGGATCAAAAGCAGCATCTCTGTGTGGCCGTTCAAGTGAAGAAAACATATGCCATCCTTTCCATTCATACGCGTGGGAGTGAGTGAGTTTAGTTTTACGCCGTTTTAAGCAATATTGCAGCAATGTCACGGCGGGGGACGCCAGAAATCGGCTTCACTCATTGTACCGATGTGGGGAATCGAATCCGGGCCTTCGGCGTGACGAGCCAACGCTTTAACCAGTAGGCTACCCCACCGTCCCTATAGCACGAAGGTCGCGGGTTCGATCCCTCGACCGCGTCATACCAAAAGACGTTAAAATATGGTACTTGTTGGTCCCTGCCTGGCGCTCGGCATTAATGTGTACAACAAGGACTGGTCGGCTCGGAGTCAGTATAATGTGTCTGAGTGGGGTATTCATGCTTCACTTCGGCATGGTATCTCAGTGGGCTAGCACTATAAAACCAGCTTAAGTCTGGGCTAGTACAAGCAGCCGCACATACACACACACACGCATGCACGTCGTCATATGAGCGAAATATTCTCAAGCACGACGTAAAACCCATTTTCACCTCACCTCACCTCCAGACTGGATTATTTACAGACCGCCGCCATAAAGCTGGAATATTGCTGAGTGCGGCGTCAAAGAACAAACTAACCAACCATATTTACCGAATTTAATTGTCTCAGTGTCACATGTCATTATCGTCCTCTCTAAACATCTCACGTTGACCCGTGAAGGTCCGGGTTAGAATAGCCCTTCAGTAACCCATGCTTGCTATAAAAGGCGACTATGCTTGTCGTAAAAGGCGACTAACGGGATCGGGTGGTCAGGCTCGCTGACTTGGTTGACACATGTCATCGGTTCCCAATTGCGCAGATCGATGCTCATGCTGTTGATCACTGGATTGTCTGGTCCAGACTCGATTATTTACAGACCGCCGCCATATAGCTGGAATATTGCTGAGTGCGGCGTAAAACTCAACTCACTCACTCACTCACTCTCACGTTTTGTACATGAATTGTCTCTGCTTCAGAATCACGGACACCACCATCACAACCATCGCTTCTTCTAGAAGAAAAGGATATCCACGATATACTTATCTGCAATAACAACCTAAATAGGGGAAGTCTGAAAAATGACGCTAACCAATTTTTTTCGATGATTGCTCGTGGGTAATGAACCAATCATCAATTGTGAGATTTCAACTGATTCCCAACACTAGGTTGTATGCCGATTTGCGTGAAATCTTTATACCAAGGAAATACTATGTATTTCTAACATTAGGTAAATTTAATCTTTTAATGTCCAGTGATAAAATTGATCTTACAATAAAGTTGGCTATGTATGTTGAGATATACAATTACAATTAACGGATCGCCAGTGGAGAGTTAACCACGCCCCCAAATGTAAGGGAGATAACTCTCAAAAGGTCCGACAACATAGCTGTCAAAACCAACTGTCAAAAGGGCAGTTGTGATATCGTTTCGAGATATCCCCGATGACATTGGCCCCAAATATTTATTGTAGGCAATACGTATTGTGGCTGCTGTAAAACTGCTGTGTCATGGGCCGATGGCCTACGTGTCTTGTTGAATAGAATAAACCAATGTAATTCAATATGGTTCCTTCATAAATAACATACATCGTCAATAGTTAACGTGTTGCTTGTATATGTTACACTCAATCTGTGTAATCAGTCATTTCGCGTAATGACTAAAGGAATCAGTCATTTCTTGAAGTCCCATTTCCGGTGTCCCCCGCCGTGATATTGCTGGAATATTGCTAAAAGCGGCGTAAAACCATACTCACTCACGCACTCATTTCGTGAAGTGGCTGTGAGCACGTAATAGTCTGGGAATAATCAAGGGACGTGATGAGAATGACATGTACACTAGTTGTGTTAAAGCAGGGATTCTGAAAGGGAAGTTTTCACGCAATCAGTTTGATTTGTGTCCCTAGCATTTACTTACTGACTCTGATCCAGATCGTACAAAGACAGTAACTCTTTGCCAGGCTGTACATATAGAATCCAGCTGTGGTGGACAGGGATATGTCCGGTGCAATTGTGCAGGTTCCAAGAGGTGTGGGACCAATAGATGCAAGTGTTTCAAAAACAAAATCAAATGCTCCAGCCGTTGTCACAGCAGCCTGTTATTCAAAAACAAGTGACTTGTGAGATGAACTAGTCAGATTGTGACAAGTGATTTGTCAGTTCAACTGAATGACTTCTGTGATATATACTCATGCCAATAATGGTTGGAGAGGGGGTGTGGGGTGGGGGTGTGAGGTGTGTGTGGGGATGGGATGGGGATGGGGTGACAACTATTGTTGGCATGAGTATATACTGAGAGAAACAACTAAAGGAACACAGGGAAATTCAAGCGTTTCTTTATTATTTTCCAGTTTTCATCACCAGTTTTGAATAGCTCTGTGGGAGGAAATCTGAGAATAAAATATAGGAACACTGCCACGAAGTGGTGTTCCCTTATTTGTTTCCCTAAGTATATGATTTAAATTTTGTGATGGAAGACTCAACTACATTACTTTTTTTATGTATGATTTAGCTCTTGATTTGACTGTAGGACTTATTGGTGAATGTGTTGGCACAGTATACTCAGTATATTTCCATAGTTCAATTACAATTCTACTTTATCTTGATGTGCAACTTGTAAATCATTTTTATTATAGCGTCAATAAAAGTTTTACATTGAACTTTTGTGGTCTTGACAGCATTTCAGTCATTTCACGTAATGCCTGACTATGATATTTAGTCATTTCGTGTAATAACTGGAATTTTCAGTCATTACACGTATTGCCTAGTGCTCACAGGCACTTCACGAAATGACTGATTCATTTAGTCATTACGCGAAATGACTGATTACACAGATTGGCTGTAACATACACTACCTGCTTAGGGACACAGCTGGCTCGGCGGACCATGCTACCGTTACGTTTTCGTAAAGTTGCCTTCCTGAATGAAGGTGGGTCGAATCCCGTTTCTAAAAGTATGTGTCCAGGCTTACCAGCCCGATACCCGTGTTTCTCTGCTAGAGTGATAAAGATTTGATACATGTATCAGTTTTCTCAACATTCAGTTAACATGGGTGATTTGTAATACTGTTTCAAAGAGGCATAAAACCGTCATTACCCATGTTTGTTTGTTTTGCTTGTTTATTTGTTTTTAACGTCACATTCAGCAATCGTCCAGCAATTGTCAGGTCTGGACCAGACAATCCAGTGATTGCCACCATGAACATTGATCTACGCAAATAGGATACGATGACGTGTCAGCCAAGTCAGTGGGACTGACCACCCGATCCCGTTAGTCTCTTCTTTCGACAAGGGGGCGGTGGGGTATCCCAGTGGTTAAAGCGTTCGCTCGTTACGCCGAAGATCCGGGTTCGATTCCCCACATGGGTACAATGTGTGAAGCCCATTTCCGGTGTCCCCGCCGTGATATTGCTGGAATATTGCTAAAAGTGGTGTAAAACCATACTCACTCTTACGACAAGCAAGGGTTACTGAAGACCAAATCTAACCTGGATCTTCACGGATCATTACCCGGGAATACATACGGTTAATGTAAGGTATAACAAGAGATGGGTGTCCATGAAAACGAGAGGTGAAGACACGAATGCCTGGACCCAGTTGTATCGACTGACTGACTGAGTATGGTTTTACGCCGCTTTTAGCAATATTCCAGCAACATCACGGCGGGGGACACCAGAAATGGGCTTCACACATTGTGCCCATGCTGGGATTCGAACCCGGGTCTTCGGCGTGACGAGCCAACACTTTAACCATTAGGCTACCCCACCGCCCCCAGTTGTATCGAATAATCATAGTATTACATAATGGGTCATAAAATACATATGGATTCGCGGGCCTGTGCACATTACTTTAGCACCCCCATGGTCTAGTAGATAGAGCGTATGCCCGAAAAGATGGTTCGATACCCAAAGGTTTTCAGATGTGGTGCTTGATGTTACCCTGACGCTCGTCATTTAGAGAATAAAATAAGTCTGTGATGTCGGAGCCTGCTTACTGTTTTTCAACTGGGATTCCATGTTAAACTGAGACATAATAACTCAGTGAAATTGTGCCAACCTCAAAACCGACATTGACCAAAAAAATACACATACAGACTCACGCACACACAGACGCATGCACACACAGACGCAAGCACACATAACACGTACCTGTAATACCTGGTGTCCCTACAGAACAGGCCACACCACATTAATCTCCATCAAACAGTTAAGGGATAACATTCACACTTCACACGTAATACTGGATTTTCTTTCGGTATTTTTAGGGGCGGTGGGGTAGCCTAGTGGTTAAAGCGTTTGCTCGTTACACCGAAGACCCGGGTTCGATTCCCTACATGGGTACTATGTGTGAAGCCCATTTCTGGTATTGATGATATTGATGGAATATTACTAAAAGCGGCTTAAAACTAAACTCACTCACTCACTCTTTAGGTATGTACGTCAGATAAAACACAGCCCACTCGGGTTGCTTGAAAATGTAAGCACTGAGGGTGGATGAAACATTTAAGCTATCTCCTTCAGATTGTATGTTGAACCGACGAAAGGGGAAACTCTGTGTACATGGAGTAAAACTCGTTGTTTTACCAAAGTCGACACTTTGGATGGAGTTCTGTGATGCTGTGAGTGTGCAAGAAAACATTATCGCTCTACGATACCGCTAAACGTCTGGGATCATCCGGAAAACGGTCTTTCCTCGGACCACAATGTAAGATATTTCAAACATGCATGCCATAAATAGTTTCCAGGAAATATACGTTCTGGTAGAAAGGGAAGCTAAAGACAACAATGTTGAAGAAGGTGTGGACTGTTGTGAAAGTTTTAAATTCTGAAACAGTGTATGGGTACTTCTTGCAATAAGATATCAGTTCACTGAAATGAGACATAAAGGCTGTCTTCAGTATATATGAGGAATATGTCAAAGGGGATTTTGTTCTGCTACCCAGAAAAATAACGGTGGACATTTATTCTGTTTTTAGGGTTTGATGTGGAATGCTTTTTGCTTATGGGTGAATCATGAAATATGCAATTTCAAGCAATAAGATATCAGTTCACGAACAGCTACGGCGACCGGTACCGCTCGACAAATGTGAAATGAGACATAAAGGACATGATTCTTGGTATCTTGCCGAATTGGCGTTGAATCTGGTTCAATGATGAATCACGATTTCTATTGGAACGACACGATGGAAAGAATGCTTGAAATCCCCAAAAGGTTTGCCTGACCTGACAGAAGTGACGAAATCCAGATGTGATCGCCAGAGGATCAACAGGACAATCCGTCACACTAGAGACTTCCTAGAACCACCTCGGGTGCGCTCCATGAGCTAGCGCAATCAGATCCATCCTAATGGGCTTCTTACTTGACTGTACCCTTGAAGAATGGAGGATGCATGAAAGAATTACCCATACTCATCTTCTAAATTTCGCTCTGGGGATACCTGCAATGATTATTAAAAAATGTAACTTAATAAATATCAGAAGATATTATACCCAATTATATGACATGAAATGCTTGAAATATTTTTTGAGTGATTCAGTATACAGGATGTTCTCCGTACATTTTCCAAGTATACTATTAAAAAAAAGAAACGCATAACCCAGAAATCTGTTGCGAAAATGTTGTATTTTCAAACATGTATAACTCGTCCACAAATAGATTTTAGGACGTGAATTTTTACATCAGTTTAGAAGAAGAAAATGTCTATACAACCAAGTGGATAACTTTAGATAACGGAGACGCTGAGCGCGATGGTGACGACGTAGTATACGGTCCCGACGTCGGGTCCCCTGGCTCTCAGTCCAATCTCTCTCAACCTGTTCCGTAGTGTGATCGGATATCCTCCGACGTCCAGGCACCCTTGCTGCTGTGCTCTCACCCGTGGCAGTACGATCACGCAAATGTAGTACCTGAATGTACCGATCTTGGGCTGCAATGATGACTCGAGGTCTGCCTGTACGGGGACGGTCATTTGTTGTACCTGTTTGGTTGTAACGAGCTGCAAGCCGTGATATCGTGTTCAGACTAACATTCAGACGCCTGGCAACAGAAGATTGGTAATCTCCAGCGTGCATTCTTGCAATGGCGATGATCCGTGTCGCAGCGTCAAGACGTGGCATAGTGATTTGACCTTGAAACTCCTTCAAAACGAATGCCGATTTCCGAAAGTAATCTGTTTTTTATAGCCAAACAGTGCATGCTCTTTGCTGCACAATTTCAACCGGAAGGTGATTTCTGTTGCGTTGTGGCGATGCCTTTTCATCCTTGTAAGAAATCTCATCAAAGTCAGCATTTTCAGGGAAAGTCGACTGTTTACTTGTGCAATGGTGTAAAATCATGTTATCAACACTTTCGTTACATATTTTGACGATTGTTTTAACACAATAGATAATTTATAGATTTTTTAAAATACAAAACTACTGTGCTTTTCTTTTTTTGGGGGGATAGTAAATAAACATCAATATAATAATATAATACTAGTATAGATATAGATGGCAGACTGAAGCTAATTTATTCATGACATTATTTACACATATCATTAACTTAATAAATATCTGAGGATATTATACCCCGTGATTCGACATGAAATGGTTGAAATATGTTTTTGATGGATTCAGTATAATTAATGATTATTTTTTTTATAATGGTAACTGTTTATTTGCAGTCTGAGAGCGATACGCGAAAACGTCAGCAGTCTGATTATGAAACAGTTCTCAAATAATACTTGCTGTGATTGTATGAGTGAGTGGGTGAGTTTAGTTTTACAAGTTTCAGCTATATGGCGGTGGTCTGTAAATAATCGAAACTGGACCAGACAATCCACGTCAGTATATCGATCTACGCAGTTGGGATACGATGACATGTGTCAACCCAGTCAGCGAGCCTGAGCACCCGTTCCCGTTAGTCGCCTCTTACGACAAGCATGGGTTACACAAGGTTCATTCTAACCCGGACCTTCACGGGTTTAGAATTTTTTAAGAGAGACTTGACTGTTACAGATTTTTGGCAAGTGGGTATGTTGTGACGTCACTTTTGGCAATATTCCAACATAATCAAGGTGGTGGACACTAGAAATGGTTTTCACATACTGCACCCAATCTGGGAATCGAACCCGGGACTTCAAGGTGACCAGTAGTTGCCATAGCATTTAACCACTAATCTATCCTACCGCCCCTTTTTTTGTTAAATGGGATGTACACACAGGCAGTTGTGCATATTTACCACTAATATAGTCGTATTTTGAACAAACTAACAGAACCTTTAACTCATTTATCCTCACATTTGAATCATATTGGCAAAAAATTTCAGCCCCATAAACTTAAAGGAAAATTTGTAATTAAAAAGTAATTTTCGAATCAAATATTTACACAAAAAAGAGTTTTATGCGAATGATCAGGTTTTTAAGCTGTGAGAGATACCCATCAGTATTGTATATGTGTCTGAACTGATGCATAGCTGGTGTCTTACGACAAGCATGGGTTGCAGATCGATTCGAACATGTCACTTGTTCACTGACATGTCATCTTATCCCACTTGCATAGATCGATGCTCATGGTATCAGCCATTGGTTTCCCTGTCCAGGATTCGAGTGTCTACAATTATATACGCTAAATAATACTGACTTTTATTGCGCGACAACATTTGAAGAACCTACACTTTCAATGTCCTCATTGTGACTCATTTGCATATCGTTGTGATCACGTGATATATTTACATAGAAATAGCGACAATGACGACAAACGCTTATCACGCATACGCTCATGTCTATTTATAGCTGTCATATGACTTGCTACGCCTCCTCCGATTTCACCACAACTGCTATATATTGACAACTGACTGACAGCTATTCATTGCACCGGACGTGAAGGGTCGGAACGAAAAGAGCTGAAATATACAACACTTTGACAACCCATAGACAATAGAATGAGCGGATATCCAGGTAAATATACACGAATCAAGCGTTAACGAGAACCTGCATGTGAAACTGACACACGGGTAGAAATATTCTACTTGTAGCTTTTAATCAAATTTACGAACATTTACACCCGGAAGAAAATATGTAATTCCCTATCATGAACTAGTAAGTACTATTTTCGCAAAATTAAAGCTGTCTTTTATCTTGAAAACTATCCATGAATTATCAAATATGAACACCAAATAACATAACACTGTTCACAAAAGTTAAAATATAGACATATATCATATTTGATAACTGCTTTTGTAAATAAATACCGCTGACGATGGAATTTTAAAATGTATGATGTTCAAAATGTTTCTAAACTGGTTTTGTAAATCGAAATCTAAATGGAAGTGTTTATCTTGCAGGCTACCCTACCGGTTACGCCCCTCCCCCTGGACAGTACCCCCTCCACAGCCCTACCCCGCCCCCGTCCCCACCGCACCCCAGCGCCCTACGTTCAGCCCCCAGCAGGATATGCCTACCGTCCACCAGTACCACCCCCGGTCCAGACGACCTACGTGGTAGAGCCTCCACGGACCATTATTGTTGATGTGAGTATATAGTATTGTATACAGCCTCGCTTGTCATGAACCCGTGCAGATCCGGGTTAGAACTGATCTTCAGTAACCCATGCTTGTCGTAAGAGGCGACTAATGGGATCAGACTGACACATGTCATCGTATCCCAATTGCGTAGATCGATGCTCATGTTGTTGATCATTGGATTGTCTGGTCCAGACTCGATTATTTACAGACCGCCGCCATATAGCTGGGATATTGCTGAGTCTGGCGTAAAACTAAACTCACTCACTCACTCACTCACTCACTCACTCACTAGTCATGACCTGGGTTATCCGGAAACCTGTTACTCCGAACGAATATTCTTTTCAGGTAAGAAACCATAGGCTGTTTTAAAAATCTGCGAGTATTTAGTCAAATAAAATCGCAAATTAATCCTGTAAATCGAGGTGTTCGGATAAATAAGGTCTTATATTTATAACTTTGTTCATTTGGAAATATCGAGATTGAACAGAAAATTAGTATACTTACATAAAGTAATAACTTAAATTCAATTTATTACAGGAAACTATTGTTCGTCAGATTTGAACAAGAAAGCAATTCATTTGTATACACACTTACATGAATTGCAATCACCAAAAATAGTTCGGTGTCACTTTCTCGTGCTCATGACGTCACACCACGTGATAGCGTTTGTCTAATGTGCTGCAACGTGTACTTTGACAGTCCAAGGGTTATTGTCAATATCACATGTCCTAATTTCCTAATCACGACGGTTGAGGTCAAGGTCGCATGTCTCAGTTTATGACTGACGATAACAAAACAACTCGACTCGATTGTAGCAATTTTGAATGTGCTGATCCTAGTCATATCACGTGACAATGAACAATGTGATTCTCTATTTCCTTGTGCATGTTCCTGGTTCCCTGTTCCTGGTAGAGACAGAAATATATATTTGGAGCATCGATTTTGTAAATGTATTTTCCTGTTCAAACTATACGTACAGACAACTACGGATATAACGAATCTCACAGGGGTTATTTCGTTACATCCGAAATTCGTTATTCGCATAAAAATTAAATCTCAACTGAAAAAGCGTACATTTGCCTTCGTAATAACCAATTTACCCGATACTTCATCTCTTCCGACTGGTCGTAATATCTGACAGTTCGTCATAGCCGACTGTTTTGAGGAGGCAAACAAAAACTCGAATGTCATAAAGCGATTATTCGTAAATATCGACTGTTCGACACATTTTGATTCAACCTTCCAGGAGACAATTGTGGGGAACAACAGAATGATATCGAGTTAGAAATATACAAATACATGTTGCTTTGCTTACATAATTCCAATTTTCTTACATAAACCACATTCAGAATACGTTAAGTCAATAGATATCAGTTTTATTCCGCGATAATGGGTACCCGGTGGGATAAGACATGTGACTACTAACCTTCTAGCACCTCATAGGCAGCTTGGGTTATCCAGGGTAATATGTGCTGCGCTTTGAAAGTTAGCGCTGTGAGCATTCACCTAGTGAGTGTAGTTAAGCACATTATTAATTCACTTATTATTATCATTATTATTATAATTAGTTATCCCTTAATTACTTCTAGGACCATCATCACCATGGCCATCATCACCATGGCCACCATCACCACGGACACGGCATTGGAGGAGTGCTTGATGACTTGTTTCATGGCGGGCACCATCATCATCATCACCATCACGGACACCATGGACACCACTGGTGATGGCTGTCGAAACGAGGAAGAGACATTAGAAGAAAGGAAGATGTTTCCCATCCCTGAAGAGTAAACAGATCTACCTTAGCTTATCCCACGAGCTGTAAATCCCAGTGAATAAATAAAAGTTTGGCAATCAATCGACATCCTACAAGATCAGAATAACGATTTAGGTTCAAATTTAGATGTTCCTTCTCGATGGGTTGACAGTTAACAAAAAAAATTGATATGCCGAAATTTTGTGTTCATGCATATTTTAAGGATAAACACTTTGATTTTTGTGTATCGTGTAGGCTTGGGGCTAAAGGTGAAATTAAATACTATGGCGCTAAATGGGTTTTCCCTTCGCCGGAACAAGTGAAGTACTTTGTTCCAACTTTCTGTACATATTGAATATTTGTATTTGATGCCAACGCCAGTCATGGAAACGTCACTGGCAACTGACTTTGGTACATCAATGATTTTTATCTGTGTACATTGTATTTTGTTCGAGTCGTAATAAACTGTGTGTCTTTACTTCCTCTTTCTCATTTTTTATTTTCAGATTTTTTTTTTTACTCACTCTCACTCACTCACTCACTCACTCACTCACTCACTCACTCACTCACTCACTCACTCACTCACTCACCCATCCATTCATTTATTTATTTATTTATTTATTTATTTATTTATTTATTTTTGAAGAAGGGGAAGGGGGTTAAACTGCGTGGGCCAAGCTCGATTATTGATCATGCCGCCTAATATTGCTGGAATATTGCTGAAAGCGGCGAGAAATAACATTCATTCCATTACTTTAAGATGGCTAGTTCTGTGTCTGGTTGTTTCCCAGTAGCCAGTATTTTTTCTAGCCAGTTGGGCACTGTGCGATGCGCTGATTACACAGAGCACAGGCCCCCACTGCGGGTCAGAAAATCGATAAACTAGGCCCCGGTTTAGTATCAACACCCCCTACTATATAATACATAAAGGTTCCATCACAGAAATACGGTGACATGATCGAAAACCGGACAATTACGCACATGTCAATGAATATATCGTATTTTAAAGGTCTCACAAGTATCAAAAGCTTTTGTCCATATCTCCGATGTATGTAGGAGGCATATACATGCGCTTTCCGTGGGGATGCATTTGATGGGTTTTATTAAATCGCCAAAGACCGAGTTGCTGTGCCGGAAGTATACAAAACTAGCTCGTCAGCGCTTGACTTCACTACCTCCGGCGATCTGATTGGCTAACACATTACACTGAATGAATGTGTTTCTTTAAAAATATTTGTACTCGTTTTTAAAATTATTCTTACCAAGATAAAACATCAGATAGTGACATCTTGGATGATAGACGTTTGAGTTTCCCTCTCATTTTCGCACGTGCATTTGTTGTCATTTTATTAACCAATTTGATTGCGCTGACGACCTAGTTTTGTACACTTCCGGCACAGCAACTCGGTCTTTGGCGATTTAATAAAACCCATCAAATGCATCCCCACGGAAAGCGCATGTATATGCCTCCTACATACATCGGAGATATGGACAAAAGCTTTTGATACTTGTGAGACCTTTAAAATACGATATATTCATTGACATGTGCGTAATTGTCCGGTTTTCGATCATGTCACCGTATTTCTGTGATGAACCTTTATGTATTATATAGTAGGGGGTGTTGATACTAAACCGGGGCCTAGTTTATCGATTTTCTGACCTATGGATACAATGTGTTAAGCCCATTCTTAGTACCCCACGAAGTGATATTGCTTGATCATTGTTTAAAGCGGCACAAAGCTATACTTATTTGCCGCTTGGCGCATTCCCATTGTATAGGGAGAAAGCGTGCAAAACAAAACGAAAAGATTACACAGATAACAACCTTGCTTTAGAAAATAATTATGACACACAAATGGGTGTGAAAACATAGTTTGATTATGTAAGTCTGGAAACGAATACCAATTACCAAAACTAAATCGAAGGGAAAGTGTGAGAGTTTAGATTTACGCCGCTTTTAGCAATATTCCAGCAATATCATTGGGGGGACACCAGAAATGGGCTTCACACATTGTACCCATGTGGGGAATCGAACCTGGGTCTTCGGCGTGACGAGCGAACGCTTTAACCACTAGGCTACCCCACCGCCCCCGAAGGGAAAGTAGCTTCCTTTCGAATACCCTAGCCCTTAAATGCCTGCAACGGTTTTTATATATTATTAGAGCGAATGTTGTAAGCACAGGGGCGTGGCATGCTTAGAAACAGCGTTAGAACGACATATAGGTATATAGACCCTACCTAGTACTATATAAAAGGAAAGGGATTTAACGACGGAACCACCCCCTCCTCAATCTAAGTTAGATTTCACCACGTTAACTATTTTTAAGGCCCCGTCGAGGCCTACGGATCAAAAGCGAGATGATGTCCCTACAAAATGAGCTATAAATGGTCACAATCGGATCATTATTTCAAAGGTTATACGCCACGACTCACCGAAAACAGCTACCTCCGCAATTCTTAGCCAAAATCATGGATCACCCAAGACAGCGAAAACTCACCTGTTAAATTCGTTTATTAATTCCAGCCACGTTGACAGCACCTATGTAGGGCTAGATTCGATCGGCAGCGGCATTCCACGGGTCTAAAAACTTATTGCAACATCTACAAATCATTTCCTCAACAGTAAGCAGACATTTTCTCCAAAACCATCGGCAATCATACTCACTTGTCGGCCATAGATGGCCTTGACATTCAAGTGATCTAAGCAGATTCGCAGAAACGAAAGTGGGCCATCCGATTGGTGGAAAATATAATATACTGTAAGATTTTGACCGTTTGCTAATGGGCGCAAAATATGAACTTTGCAATAATCCTATATTTTGGATGATGCACGGAACGGTAAATTGCTAAGAATAGTTTTAGAGGTTGTAAAAATGCATTCGATATTGATTCATTTTTAGGAAATTATATTTATAAATATTTAACCTCTAAAATTATTCTTACAAATTTACTGCTCAGGTCACTTAAATGTCAATGCCATCTATGGCCGACAAGTGAGTATGATTGCCGATGGTTTTGGAGAAAATGTCTGCTTACTGTTGAGGAAATGATTTGTAGATGTTGCAATAAGTTTTTAGACCCGTGGAATGCCGCTGCCGATCGAATCTAGCCCTACATAGGTGCTGTCAACGTGGCTGGAATTAATAAACGAATTTAACAGGTGAGTTTTCGCTGTCTTGGGTGATCCATGATTTTGGTTTGGAATTGCGGAGGTAGCTGTTTTCGGTGAGTCGTGGCGTATAACCTTTGAAATAATGATCCGATTGTGACCATTTATAGCTCATTTTGTAGGGACATCATCTCGCTTTTGATCCGTAGGCCACGACGGGGCCTTAAAATAGTTTACGCGGTGAAATCTAAATTAGATTGAGGAGGGGGTGGTTCCGTCGTTAAATCCCTTTCCTTTTATATAGTACCAGGGTAGGGTCTATATACCTATATGTCGTTCTAACGCTGTTTCTAAGCATGACACGCCCCTGTGGTTGTAACAATAAGTAATTATCATTCTGTTTTATTTTCCAGAGGGTTGGCGTGAGTGAAATTAAAGATATTACACTATAGACAGGCTAGGAAAGAGAAATAGTTTAAAAACAAATTCAAGACAGTGGACGTATTGGTTCCTTGGAAGAGGTTCGGACATTAAAAAGATGACTTTGACATATACTCTTGGCGTTATATATATAGAAAATTATAAATACCACAAACAGTAATCGGTGATTCTCTGTTCATTTCTACTCAACAGTCTCGAGGCGTTGTTTATGACAAACCAGGAGAAATTGGCGTTAATGTTGTTGTTTGTTGTTGTTGGTGGTGGTGGTGGTGGTGGTATGTCCCAGCATTACGACGAAGCCTGTCTCAGACTGACCCACATCTCTTCTCCAGTATCTAATCTCACTGCGAGTCGAGAGATAATATCCTGTCACATCGACATCAGATCAAATTCACCGTATCGTTGTGGGAATGACCTTTAGATGTTTTGATATTTTGGGCTACACAGTGTACCATAAAATACTACAAAACAGTGTACAGGTATGTACTAACAAAGCTGGACATGAGGAATACAGTGAAAAATATGCCACTTAAAAATAATAGACACAAATAACATAGAGAAAAATAACATTCTATCAGTCTACAAAAACCTCCACACACACAGACACACACGCGCACGCGCACACATACACTGAATTAGTGTCTCGGGATACTAAATAAATATTTGTAACTTATAAGAACATAATCCTAATAAATCTGTTGTTCAGAGTTCAGAGTGCGGAACTGCCTCTTGATCATGCAAGGATCCGCTAGTTCCTTGCTTGAAACATACTCCTGGTGTTTATGATCATCGGTCTGTCCCCAACAAACAACAACTCTGCTTCAATGTTAAAATTATATTAAGCTTCATGTTCTAGCTCATAACACGTGTATATACATGTATATCATAGCTCATATTACGTGATATATGCTTTCCCACAAAAGTAGGGGAACCTGAACTTTCAGTTTGGATAGGAAGAATAACGTTAACAAACTTTCCAGAGACAGACATCTTATGAACGCACAACCATTTGTCTTAATCACCAACCCTAAACACAACGCATGGGAAGCACGTGCACAACGCAGTAGCCCCATACCCATGCATGAGGTGTCATTCTTGATTTTGACGGTTTTCAAGAAGGTCGATAAATCACTGTAGACCATTAATTTTGACAATCTTGCATCACACAGTTGTTAGTGTTTGTTCCTTGCCGTTTTATTTTTGTTTTTTGTTGTTGTTTTTTTTATGTTTGAAAATGAAAATTTCACGTCATCTTTCAAGAACCATTACTGTACAAACAATTATGGTCATAAGGAAGTGCAAGTGGTGATGCACTCTCAAAACATTCATTATTATCATGTCAACATTGATTGACTCCGATATATCTCCCAATTCTTTCAATCGTAAATAAAAAATAAAGTTCCCCTACATTTTTTAAGAGTATATATGCTACAACCCATATGTGTGTGACATGTTATAGCTCATATTGCGTGAAATGTATGTTCCAAATAACTGACACATACACGGAATCAAGAACTATCGTGACAGACGTTAAGGTCACTTTATCTAGGATCAACTTTAGGTCAACAACAATAAACACAATGATAATAATTTGGCAAGTGCATAAGGAAATATTTGTAATGAACTAATGTTAAACGTCACGTCATTAGCACGTCCCTTGTGTTACAATACTCAAGAAGCAAGTGTTGCATCCAACAAAGAAAGACTGAAATATCAAGGCTTTAAGTGATGAGTGATTGAACGAGTTTAGTTTTACGCCGCTTTTAGCAATACTCCAGCAATATCACGACGGGGGAATCAGAAATGGGCTTCACACATTGTACCCATGTTGGGATTCGAACCCGGGTCTTCTGCGTGACGAGCGAACGCTTTAACCATGTGGCTGCCCCATTCACGATGACTCAACTTCACGATGAACGGGAAAGGGCCTGCTGTTATTAGGCCAGTCAAATTAGCAAAAGGTCTGGAAAAAATTATGAAGAAATGCAACTTAGTAGATATGTTCTGCAAACCTTCCTACATAGCATAATAAATGCTGATGCCATTAAATGTGATAAATGTAAAAATGTAATTTGACACAAGATGAGTATCGTTTCTTGCTCGTATGTCCATATTATTCACAACAGCGCTGTATGTACATTCCTGATTTTTATATTATATATCCAACCAGATCGAAGTTTAATCAGTTGCTTGCAACACAGAAAGTAAAACTTCTAAAAAATATTGTAATTTATCTTAAACTATATTTACCTGTATAAATTGTACATTTTTCACCTGTCCATGTGCTATATTTTGTTTATTGAATTGTACTCTTGGTCATGAGGCCATAATACTGAATAAAGCTCTTCTTCTTCTTCTTAAAAGTCCCCTTAAATCCCACTTGAGCTAAATCCATATTGCACGTGCAAACATGGCTACCCTATGCAACCTTTTGCTAACCTAGAAGACCAATTGTGCTAGATAAAATGGTCACAACTTCTTTATTTCTGTACATAAGTACATAAATGTTTGACAACTGAGTGAATGTATCTCAAGATTGTTGATTATTATTTCAGAAAGAAAACAGTTTCACATTTCGGAGTTGTGGCCCTTTTTTGTGCTAAAAATAGAATGTTTTATATGTTTTTACCCTTGGGTGACACAAAGACCTATATGTATAATCATAAGGTTTAGATATGTCCAAAAGACCTTGAAGCGTATTGTTCAATGTCTTTTTCACCACAAACCACCACATATAACTTAATAAAACCATATTTTTACATTTTGGCTGAAACTGAAAATTTGTAATTTTTTGGCATGTTTAGAAGTCAATGAAAACTCAATAAATGGCCCAACAATTGCAATAATTTGATATTTTACACCCAAAAATCAAGCAAGTGAAAATTTTATAATTTCATAAAAATACATTTAAGTAGCCATTTCCATGCTTTTAAAAGTGTTATCGCCCTTGGATCCTAACAATTTCAAGAAAATACCATAACTCAACCTGACAGTACCTAAAAGTAACTGATATTCTGCAGAATACCAAGACACTATTTACAGATTATGTAACAGGGCATCTACAAACACGTATGATTAAAGATCTAAAAATATCATTTTCTTTTCCTTGTCAGTCTGGAGGAAGTTGAAGGCTGTGGCTCATCACGGGTTGTTACTGGCTTGAGCTGGCCACAAACAATTTGCCATCCCCATTCATTTGGTGGAAGACTTCTTCCAAGCCATTGCTGCACTTGCAAATATACCCTCAGGCCATGTTCTCTCGCCGCTGCCGATGTAGTTGGAAGGGCAGATAACTGCATTTGTGTGTGAATGGGACACTTGGCAACTCTTGTGAAACAATGATATCTGTGCTCATTCAGGGATTTAACAGACTTAGGTGCTCTATACAATGCCAGTAAGAACTGCTCTCCTGCAAACGCAACCATATCCTTTGTGGATAATTGATTATGGAACGCTTTGACAAGTGGTTGCAAGTCCTGTCGCTTTGTGAACAACATGACAGCTTTTTTCTTTCCCTGTCTGTACTAGGCTGATGTGGTGTCACAGCCAGTCATGGCATTGAGAAAGAGCAAGCCCTTGAGGTAACAACGAAATGGTATATAGACGATCAGCAGCCTTTCCGCTCCCAGTTTTAAGGGAGTACAATCTTTCTGAAGCACACAAATGGATGAGGAGCACCAGAAGATCAACATCAGTCCTAACAAAATGGCTTTGTGCCCATTATCAGCACAATCAATACCTGTTGCACAATGATCTCATGAAATTGTTGTGTCAGAGCCTTTATCAAATGTGACTTGTTTTTACCATTGGACAGGAATTTATCCTGTTTGATCGTCAATGGTGTTTCAGAATTGAAGACAATATCAGTGCTCAGATATCTGGATGCTCTCCGACTCTGTTCAACACCTTTTGTGGACACAGACTCGCCATACACATCAAACACAATGATGCAATTGTTTCTAAAGTGTCTATTGACAGATGTCAGATAAGCATCATAAACATCATTGTATGTTCTGCTTTGGGGCCATATCACTTTTCTCAGCAAGTATCCACCATCGACTATGTACATAGCATCTGGAGGAACTTCCTCATCATGTGGAAGGCTTTGTTTGCCTGACAAAGAATCAATCACAGAGAACATGACAGATTTGTTTGTTTTTCTCATTGAGTACTCATCGAATAGTGATAGAGGACATGGAGAAAGTTCATATTACAAACAGGATAAAAAGTCATCATCTGTTTTTATGAGGCACAGGATGCGATGAAAAATTTGCATGGTATTGGCAGGTATAACCTCATTCTGTGTTTTGATTCAGTTGTTCATGACAGATAGTGTGAGTACTCTGTTTTGTCTTAGAATATGCGGATCTCCAAAGCTTTTGCCAACTATATTCTTCATAGCAGAATCTCCAATTGCCAGTGCAAAATCGTAAGTAATGTCTTCTTTCCCAACAATTCCACTACTCAAGGAGACCAGTTCCTGTCCTTGTTCAAATGGAGAATGAGTTGATAGCCATTCAATCAGCTTGTAACTTCACTGGTGTCCCTCTCAATTCTATACGTCCTTAGTTCTACGTACTGGTCAACACTACAAAATCTGGTCCCACAGAATTCCTCGAAGTACTGAATCATTTCAGTACAACCAGGCATTGCCAAGATCCATTGCGCCAACACACTGTCTGTCAGTCCTCGTCCATGAGTGAGACCACCGCATGTCTTCATCGCCCGCGTGAGAGCCTGTTCAGTTGTCATGTGTGTCCAGATGCCAGCCCACATCTTGTCACTTCGCCTGACAGTAAATCCACCAAACCTGGTAAAAGCTTCAAATTCATTCTTGGGCATAATATTTCCCAGTTGTGACATCTGTTGAACATACAAATGGGCACTTTTGGCATAAGCAATGTGTCCTGCAGCATGAAATAAGGTATCATCTTGCAGGCAGCATCAAGATGAAGATCCCAGTCTCCGATCCTTTCAGCTCGAAAGTGTGTATCAAAGTGTGTATCAAAGAAACTTGCTAAAAATATTGACACCACAACTTGGCAGTTCTGCCTTTGAGACGATTCATATTCCATAACTGCAGTCAGTTTTTCGACAAGGTTTATGGCATTGGCAGTTGCTGGAAGTTCATCAGGGATCACATGGTTGGTTTGAGCATCCTTATACAAAGTCTTCAGACAAGCTTTACTTATTTCATCCAAGCTAACCTTCTGCAAGGCAATAACAGCTATTGCTAACTGTGTATGAAGTATGAGTATGAGTATGAACCATCAATGCTCTTGCATAAGCGTGACCTGTCAACATTTTTTCAGTAGAGTCAGAGGCATAGATGAGTGACTATAGTTCTTTCAATCCACTGCCATCCATTATATAACCGACCGAACCCATGAAAGGCATAAGGAGATGGAAACCACAAAGTCTGACAACAACTGAAGCTAGAGTTCTTTTGTTCTGGTGGGAAGCTACAATATCAACAGCTTCTCATATAGAGGTTGGTCAAATGACACAAAACATGTTTTCTGTCCATGTTTCCTGCATTTGTCAGCAGAATATGCCAGCACAGAATATATTGCGTCTGGATTCGATGCCTGCAAGTTGACAAATGGCAATGGGATCACTTTGGATACTTCATAATTGTCAACACTTCTGGCATACTCCATACATCCACTCCAGCAGGGAGCGTCCTCCAATTTCAACCATACTCCACTCATCCAAAGCGTATCCAAAAGAACATGCACAGAGCTAGAAGAGGTTAGCTTTCTGAAATTGGAAATGTCATCAACAGTCAAACCAAGCAAACCTTTCTTGCTCTGAAGTAAACAAGTCAAATATATCAACTGACTTGGACCTGACACTGGCTGCTGAAACAGCTTTGTTACGCTTGATAACATCAGATATTCACACAGAACTACCTGGTGTGACACACATGAGTCCACTCATGCTATGAAATGTGCCATATCCATCAAGTGTGTGAACATTAAAATCTGCATTGTCAAAGACAAATTGCATGAAGGCATTTTCACCAATCTCATCATCTGCAGCCATTGCAGAATGTT